TCTTTCCCTCCCCTCTTCCTCCCTCCTCTTCTTCCTCTAAGCCGGTCTCCTCTGCTCTTTCTGCCTCTTTTGCCTCCATGGTTCCTGACTCTCGCCCGCGCTCGCTCGCGCGCTCTCTCTCCTTTTCTAGGATTTTCTTTTTTTTTTTCCATTTTTTTGTCTTGGCGCTAAACCTCTGCTCAATTTGACACTGTGTTAGAGGGAAAATTAGTGCGGTGTACTGGTGCTTGGATTGGTGATCCTGGCAGTCACTTCTCTCCAAGTCTCCTCTTACTGGGGGCACTGGGCTTCTCCTCCCCTCTCCTGACAAAAAAAGGCCCGCTCTGGGAGGCAGCCAAGCATTTTCGGGAGGGTTTGCCCCTCTCATCTGGCAAGCCAGCATCAGTGATCTTGCACAGAAAACCTAGGATCTGCAGGCCAAGAAATAGAGTGCTCTCCTCCCTAATCCCTCTCCAATATTAATTGGGGTCCTTCCCATTTGGGGTAATTTCTGCGGTAGGAGTGTCGCCAACCAGCTCAAAGGCTGGAAATGGTTTTAGGTACTTGTCGACTACTCCAAGATAGCAGTTTGAGCTCCCAATACCTGGCCTTTATTTTGGCAGAAACATCCTTCTGGGCAGTTCTGGGTTAGAAGAGAAGCAATCTTTGTGGACCCCCTCTGACACCTCTTGCTTTAAGTCTCCTCTAAGTGCAATTATTTCTATGGAATTTAATTCTGGTTTCTGCCTTCTTGCCCAAGTATTTGTCCATCGAAAAACCTGCTCAATTCAATATCGAAGAGGAGAGTCTTCATTTATTCATGAAAAAGAGCGACTCCTTAGTTTCACCCTTGGGAAAAAAAAAGTCATTTTTCTTCAAAAGCAGGAGTCACATTCCCTTCGCACTACTGATAGGAGCTGCTCCAGTGAATCTCCACTGAAAGTAAATGTCCTTGGCTGGCCCCAACAGTCCCTACATCATTAATGCATGGGCATGGCCATCTAGGCTTCAGAACCCACCTAAAAGAGGTAAGTCCTCTCCCCATCCTTTCAAGGACACTGTCTTTAGACTTCTAGTAATACGTTTATAAATATTTGCATTGGGTGTTTATGTGTAAGTTCTCCGCTATTAACATCCTCACACCTAATAAGTACCTAAGTGGATGTGGACTTAAGCAGGAAGTGCATAGTACCCTCTGGAACAGGTCATTTGTATTCCTTGAAAAAGTTCCGATGACCTTGGATGTTTCTGATTAAGGGACTTCTGTTGCCATCTGTCAGCAAAAGTCATATTCTTTCTAGTGAAAGTCAGTGGGTTTTAACTTTGTTGGAGGGAATCTTAGCAGCAGCCAGGGTCCATTAAAATGTCCTCTCTCTACCCCTATCCACCCTTAGTTGCCCAAGTTTTCAGTAAACACAGGGGAAGCAGAGGACACAAGCTTGGATGTGAAACAGCAATATCTTCTGCATTGAAGAATAATAAAACAATGTTTTTAATTATACAAGAAAATGGGGCAAGTTGTTGGGCCCTCCCAAACTAGAACGCTTGGCACTGGTCAATACATGGGGAATTGAACAGATTGTTCAATTCTAAAATTTTCTGAGAAATAATCTCAATTGTCAATTTTCCTCTACCCAGATAAAAGCAGAGCTTTATGACCCTCCTTTTCAGCTTGGGAAAGAAAGGCTGGAAAAAGACTCTTTGCGCTGAAAAGGCAGCCATATTTGCACCACCACCACCACCACTCCACCCTGTGCAGAGGTAAGGGATATACTGGGCTTTGTGGAACCTCACAAAATGGGAACTCACAAAATGGCAGTCCTTGAACTGACTTTTCTCTAGGAACCATTGAGACCTACACCCTCTTTTGTTTCTGGTCCTTGCAAACAGAGAAACTAAATCACTTAGAAGGCTTGGTTCTTTCATTCAGTGTTAACATTAAAGGGTCCTATTTTTCTCTAAACAGTTTACAGACCTCTCTAAGCAGATTCCCTAAGCAGTCCAGGGTAGAGAAGCAGTTGCTTGGGTTTGCAAAGGGTTTTCTGAAGGTTTATGCAAATTTCTGTAGCAAAAATGTTTTCTTGTTTGTTGCCTGCAATCCTCGGATATTTACAGATTTGAGCCAATTACAAGGGTATCTTCTACACTTGTCACTTTGAGTCTGTCTGCACGAAACACCAAGATGGGGGGTTTCTAGCCACCGTGAGGAAAAGGTGATGACTGTGTGTGATGTGTAATTCCACGAGCTCTTTATTTGGAGACAAATCTATGCTTTTCTCAGCTACAAAAGGAAACATTTATTACCAACACTTTGTGCACACGTGCAATCTATGTATATGTACAAATCCACCAAATATATACCAAAAATTACCAAATTTGTATACGTACAAATACTCTCAAATACACCAGTAATTGCAGCAGTCTTTTTCTGTACACGAGCTATGATTTTACCATGCGGTTAGAAGGATGATGAGGCCAGAAGGTACAGCATTTATAGAACGACACAGAACGCAGAGGAAACAAGGACATTTTTACCTCCCCTTCCTTCCTTGATTTCCACATCCGTCATGTACAAGGTCCCCCACTGATAGTCTTGCCCAAATCGGTGGCTCTAAAAGTGATGTTTGGGGAGTATTCTTGAATGAGACAACAAATTTTGCTAATAGAGGAGTCCCTTAAATGGAGGAGGGCAGCTGAAATTTAGCCAGCACCAGTCTTTAGCCAAGTTATTCCCCCGCCCCCAGGCTGTTCCCTAGCCACACTTTTCGGCACTTGGCATCCTTGCTCTGTATCAGCCAACAGCAGAGGCTCAGGCAGCACACAGAGCAAAACGTTTCCAAATCCAGCATGCACGTTTGCAGCTGTCTCCTCTCATGCAAATGTTTCTTAAGCCCTGAGCCACCTGTGACTTAAAATTGTCTTTCCTGGCTCAGGTCAACAAATGCCATAGCTACTGCCTCTTCCTTGGATAGAAAGTCAGGTGGTGCTTTGCTTCTGGCCTGATCAGTACCAACATTCCCCTGGTCCACCAATGCCTGAGGGGGTGATCTAGGCCTTATACTACAGGATTCCATTTTCTTACCTTTGCAATAAATGCCAGTCTAGAAATTAAAATATACGTCTTTATAAACACACTTAGAAAAGGCAGAGAGCTCTTCAATGTCTATCTGACAAAGATGCTTTCCCTTTTACTGGGAGAAATGTTAGTTTACTTGAATTTCTCCTATTGTCGCCCTCCCCTCTTCCCCCTCCTCTTCTCTCATAAAATGGCAGCTGCAGGAGCAGCCTGGAATGGAAAATGGATATCTTGTTAATAACAGATCCCAAAACCCAGCATCAATGCAGACTCCGCGGAATAAGCTGTGGTGTAACCTGGACTCTGGGTCCTCCCACACTGGGTTGATTCGAGTCCTCTGTGAAGTTCAAAGCTTTCACAGTACCTTAGCAAGGTTACTTAGAGCAAGATGAAGCTAGGATAGCCTAGCCAGTCCTCTCTGGGATGAAAGAGAGCGAGCGCCCCCTCCCCTACATGTATTTATTTATTTTTATAGTATGAGTGCATGTAACCCCCTCTTTTTAAAAAAAAAAAATCAAATAGAAGCTTTAGCAGAACATTGCCTTTGTGTGAGCCCAGGTAATCCTTCCCAACTCAGGAAAAGGGTTATTTGCGGCGCTCAAAGACACTAGCTCTAGAAAAAGATTCTTTTTTTTTTTTTTTTTTTATTAAGGAGCTAGCTATGTTCTGGAGCGGTTGTTTACACTCATTTTTCTGCATTTGCTCTCAAGGCTTGTTTCAAAAGGGTGAGACCATCCTGGAGAACAACAGAGGACGTACCAACCGACATCTGAAACGCACACAGCAAGTTGGCTCAAAATGGGTGTGCAAATAGAGTGAAGGGAATACAAATAAATATGGCACCTACTCAAAAACCGGAATCACAGCAGTGGCTACAGCCTAGAGACTTAGCAGTTTCAGACGATACCAAACGCAGTTCAAAATGAAAGCAAGTTGAGAAAGGAGAGGCATTCCACAGAGCAACTTGCCAGAGTGAAAAGTTAATGAATGAAAATGTTATAATTGGCTTTTCAAGTATTCATTCACTCTAATTAAATTGCCATAATTTGTATAGACTATAGAAAAGTTATTAAATGTCAACTTTGACATTGCCCTGAAACTTGTCACTGGCCCAACATTCCTCAAGTTTAAGGAAGCTGCAGAGCCAGGACTACACTCTTCAACTAACATGTGCTTTTCAAATATTTGGCCCAAACTTTTCCCAGAGATTCTACATTTATAAAGAAACCTTTTAGGAGTAAACAAAAAGCACCCGAACCATTATTATAAAAGCAGAAAGAAAAAAACATAAATAATACATTTTAATCAAATAAAATAAAGTAAATATTTTGCAGGCATAATTTTTTAAAAAAATTAATAGACTTCTTTTAATTTACTCACCATAAAGAAAAGATTTAAAATGTTCAAGTGCACTTGTTTGATTAATAAAGCATTTTATGTTCAATTATTTAGTGCTAATCATTAGGAAGTTTACGTTGTTGAGGCAAATCACCAGCTCAGACATTGAAAACTACCATTATAAAAATGTCGCTACAAGGTCAGTATCAAATCTCCCTCACATAAGACAGCTCAAGGACTGCTTCTATGAAATACTAGAAACTTTTTAAAAAATCCCTCTCAAAGCGCAGAAATCTCAAGAGCAGTGACATGAAGGTAGCTTGAAATATAGGTAAAGTCTTTCCGACAAAGAAAATAGGTGATGTCCACCAGCATATGTTGATCATTAGCTTTAATAGTCTATGATAAAATTTTAAAGGTAGAATTTAATTCGTCGGGCCTTCAGCTCTGTCTTCCTCCAACGCTTGGGCTTCCTTTTTAGTTTCCCCATCCTTCACCTCCTGTCGGGAAACCGGGAATTTGTCCTTGTTGTTCTCCTTTTTCCATTTCATTCTCCTGTTCTGGAACCAGATTTTTACCTGTCTCTCCGTGAGAGCTAAGGCATGGGAAACCTCGATTCTTCTCTTTCTGGTCAGGTAAGGGTTAAAAAGGAATTCCTTTTCCAGCTCTAGGGTTTGGAAACGACTGTAGGTTTGTCTTCCTCTTCGTCTACCAGGAGCTGCTGATTAAAACCAAAAAAAGAGAAAGAGAGAGAGAAATAAACGTCTTAAAAATGTAACGGTGCCTCTGCAGATTGCTGGAGGTTTCTGGAATGAGTCTAAAGGATGGAATATATATAACTCTCTTTAGCTCTGGTATATACAGAATATACAAGCAAGAGACAGAGTGAAGGTCGTCACAGTTACTCTGTGCCCATCATCTTTACGTGGTTTCTACTTTCAGGGAGGAAAGAGTCTGTATTACTTTATGAACAACAGCCACTGTAGCTGTGCAAGAAGTAGGAGAGGGAGAAGAAAAGGGAGTTTTAAAGCTAGAACGTGAAGGATTTCTTCCCCTGTCCCCGCTTAAAAAAAAAAAAAAAACAACAACAAAAAACTTGCATCCCAACCTTGTGGTCTCATCCAGGGAAACATTTGAGAAGGAGACGAGCTCTGATTTAAGTGGTCTGGGTCCTCGCCAATATTACCACTGGACGATTTACAGTCAGGATATTGTACCAGCTCGGCCTCTTGCTGGGTCGTAAAAATCGGCTGTCTCTGTAAGTTATCGTATCCGTAAAACTTCGCGGGCTCCCGGTGACAGGCAATCCCGCCGCAGGGGGGAGGCGGAGGATGCGGAGGAGGAGGGGGGACGGCTTGGTAGGCTGCAGCCGGCTGCCC